ATAAAGTGTTTAGAATTTACTAATTTCACATATTGAATTTTGATAATGGATTCAGGATAGGTGCCATTTCTGCTTTCATTCCAATTCCAGATCATTGTTTCTGTTTTGGAAATGTTTATCTTGAGTCCTATTTCTTGGAACACTTGGTAGAGAGTGTGATTTTTCTGTTCAAGATCGTTCTTATCCCAACCGCGAATACCTATTTCATCAGAATAACTCCTTCCCCTCATCTTCAGTACATTGGTCTTGGGAGGGAAAGAGGGATCATTGTCTTTTATTGATAAACTTGTTTGGGATGTGGTATGGAATGTTTAAAATGTCAGTGCTCATCTCTTTACATCCGTAATTGTATATGCTCAGGGCATAGTCTAGGTAGAGATTAAAATAGACTGGGGCTCTCATTTCCTCCTTGTTGTACTCCTGATGAGGTTTGGAATGTTTCCATATCGGGGTCCTAGCCCGACATGTAAGATTTTCTATAATGATACAGTTCCTCTGTTTCATCAATGCAATCAGTAGATTTAGCGTTTGAGATGCATTCTATAATGGATGAGAAGAGGAATTCTCTATTGATGAGGTCAACAAAGCAAGTATACAGTTTCCTATTAGAGAATTAAGCAGTTTCTTGGAGTTTTTTGATGACATATTCTGAATGATATCCAACAAACTACCCACACAAATCAAACCTACTTGTAATTGCAGATCAAAGCATGAATGTTCCTTAAATTGCATTGCTTGGAAAATAATATATCAATCCACTGTAAAATCAGAAATTAACAAAGAAAGCCTGTACATGTGTAACTGAAGGACCCTGAAAACAGATAAACTTACACAGACACAAATGATCCTTTACAAATAGTAAATATGCAAACAGCACAAAACTTTCTAAATATATGTGGGAAATTAAAAACAAATTACACCAAAAAATATGGAAAATAAGGAAGACAACACCAGCCTACAACAATGAATTCAAAAACTGTAATCTTTGTCTGCTGCAGAAACTAGCTATAACCACCTTCCCAGACCAACACAAATTACTAAATAAATGACAGAACTCATCTTAAACTGCAGACCTGAAAACAAATTTTGACTACATTACTTAAAATATATCACCATGAAAAATGCAAATATATACAATTTATAAAATGCAGATAAATATAAAATTCTTTAAACAAAACCAGCCACTTTAAAGTAAAGAAATAAGATAAACAAAACTATTAATGCAGATAAAAACACAATATAATAATAATTATCAACAACAAATAATTAAGTAATCAATAATAAATAGTAGAGTCAACACACAACACACATGGAGTGATGATTGTATTCAAGCATGAAACAGTTTACTGCTGCTTGGTGTTGACCTCAGTGACCACTTCCATATTTTATATATATATATATATATATATATATATATATATATGTTTTGTTCACAATGATAGACAAAGATTGCTTTTCAAATTGTTAACTTTTCTTGTTTACATATAAGACAATGAATGTTTTTGGTTCCAAATATTCAGGATCAAACAGTTTCAATTATCTTTTCATTTTCAAAATTGATGTTTACATAAACATGAATTTTTTCATATTCAGATACAGTTTTTTCAAACTTGGTGCTGCTGTTATAATTTATCATAATGATGTGGCTGCTGAGCGAAATATATTGCCAGTGGTTGAATACAGTTGAAAAATTTTGTTCATTTTTTTTTCAATTTATTAAGACTTCTAATATTTAGTCTTTTCTCTGTGGTTAATATTTTCTCTCATATATGCGCTTTGTTGAAGAGTATTTATGTTTTATGTTGATAGCAATCTTACTCTTAAACAGTATATGTTTATTGATGTGTGTGCAAGTTTCAATGTGATCTTCAAGATAGTAGATTAACCTACAGGATGGAGAAGTGGCTACATGGCCTCAATACAAATTTGATGATAGAGTACATCAGAGGAAATACAATTCTCCATGAAAATTTGTTGATGACATTCTTATGACACAATGAACTTGGTGGGAGGGGCATTGTGAGTAATGATATAGATGTTGTTTTTTTTTATAGTAAAATGTTAATCATATATATATATATTATAAAAGGCTCAAACACTAATATTCCATGGTTATAATTTATTACATTGAATTGTAATCATGATCCAATTCATCAGACCTACAAATTCAAAAATTCAATTCTATTCTTACTCTGTCCTGGACATTGAGTTCTACCTGGAGTCAAGCGAAATTTTTTTTAGAATCCCAAAAAAAATTTCGCTTGAAGATGGAACAGAGCTTACTTTAACTCAATTTAATTCAAATAATTATATTGAAGTTTTCGGCTCTTGTTTTGAAACATGAGACCTCTTATGTCACGAGTTGGAATCATATTTTTAAATAAATAAATATATATATATATATATAACACTAATATTATCAATAATATATATATATATATATATATATAACACTAATATTATCATATATATACACACACACACTACATTTAACTGGAGA